TAAGTTGCCATTCCATTAGAACGAAAGGATTTTGTCCAAGAAATCCAAGAAATAAGGATGTTCCCTCAGATCTGACCGACAAATTTGGGCATATATCTAAAAAAAATCTGAAAAAATTCACACGCTTTCCTTGACAAATTCTAAGACTTTTTTGTTCTTTTAAAATTTTTCGTAGAGTTCATGCTTATTGAGATAAAAAATCGCAAAGATTTATTGCTTAAAATTGTTTAAATTTGAATCGTTTACAGCTCGTGAACAATAGATTTTAGAGAAAATTGGCAAGAGCACTTTTTTGTTTAAAATGACCCTAAAAACTTTAAAAAGTGAGTTTCAGGTCGAAAAGTTTAAATTTTTATTTTTGCAATGTTTTTACATTAACTTTTCTCAAAAACTGTTTGGTCAAGTTTTTCCAGTTTTTGAGCTATGTTTTAGTACATACTGAACAATCATCTCCTAGTTTTTGAAAAGATTTTATCGATGCGTTATTTTATAATCACACAAAATAGCGTCTTTTCGATACGCTAGCATAGGGATCCCATGTTAAAGTACCGAACTTTGATTAATTATATTTCGGAAATGGTTTGGTTAAATTTCCTGAAATTTCTCACACGTATAAAAAGCACTGTAAATAATATGTGGTTAAAATTTCGAGACCCTTTATCGATAGTCATTTTTTTGATGAAAGTTATGTAATATAAGTGATTGCAAGATTTGGCGTTTAGGATACATAATCCTTTCCAGTACAAGAAAAGTCGGTGACACGAGACAAGAAAAGCCGTTTTCTTGTCATACGTCAAAATATTTCTTGCCGCAGGAACCGACTTTTCTTATCAGGTAGAGAGACCCGTGGCGTGGCTGATGCTGAGATCACATAACAAATTTTTTATGAATTTACAGCCACCACGGTGATAACACTTTCCTCACACGCAGACTCGCTATGCTTAAAGTAGTACATTTTTTATTGGCTTCACTAAGTTACTTTTTCAGCTTAATCCTATAAATAAAAATATAAAATTATTTAAGCCCCTTTTGAGCCCTTAATCATTTCCGCGGCGCAATTTCATTCTCTCAAATACAACATCATATCCGCGACTTTCTTATCTGGGATCGCTCGACACAATCGAAATATGCCACACCAATACGCTCTACTCAACACTTTCTCAATCTCGTTACAATTTTTTTTCTCTGCGCGCACTCGGTTGCTTTATCGCTTTTCACAGTCGATTTTCGGATCCACGCTCTCGTAAAGGCCTATCGATCGCAGCCCTTACTCGCGTTATTAATTTTATAGAGACTAGATTCCGGTAGCTTCGTCGTCTTGATGTTGATTAGATTCTCTACTTGCGCCGCTTATTCACTGCGTCACATATTTGTACAAAAACAAGAGAGTAAAAAAAGGCTAACGACCGATCCTCATTCATTTATCAATGAAAAATCGTAACTCATTTTTTTAATTTATTAATTTGAATGAAATTTACAAAATTGAATGATACTAGACACAGAAAAGCAAATATTACAAAAATAATCATTCATCACCTGCTTGACGATAATATTGCGGTAAAGAATCGCGGCAAACGGTAGCGCGTCAGCTCCGAGAATGGATCCAGCGCCCATCGCCGGAAATATCGTCTAGATAGTTTCTTGCGTGGATGCAACTCACAAGCCTTTTGGTGTCTCGCGAGAAGCTTTCCCCATTTTATCGAGCGAGTAAACTCCAAGTAGTAGAAAAAATAGTCGGAATATGTTAATTATTTTTCCGCCTCTTCCGTTCGTAATTGGATCAACTTAAAAATCGACAGATTCGGACGTATCTTCATTAGTTACGCTTTTCTCGCTCAAACTACTCGTCATCGTATCGAGATTTTTCGAGGTTTGACGACTTTTGGAAAAACGAGTATTTGAAAATAGCTACTTACACTTTGTGCAGCGTCAAGATAATAATCATTTTCACTTTCATCATTTTCATACAGTCATTAAATTAGAAATCTCTTACAAAATAAATTCCGATTGACTTCTACACATCTCATTCCCAGTAGCACGTGGTGGAACGCCAACAGGAAGCTCGCACGTATGAAGCCGCTTGCGCTACATTCAGAATTCGAGAATCAAGACACCAAACCCATGCTGGAAAATTTTTCGTGCTCACTTTCAATTCAAATTGGAAAGTTCTACGAATAAAAAAGAGATTACGATACATCGCATTACCAGCTACATGTGATGCAGCGCCGAAGAGGAAGCGCGCGCATGAATGAAGAGACTCGCGTCCCACGTGCTGAAAACACATGCTGGAAAATATTTCGTGTTTTTTTCGATGTATTCTTTGATGTCAGTGCAGTAGTGACCTCGACAAGTAGTGCTCGTTGTTAAGTGTTAATTTTTTAGTGTTCAGCGATATAGACTCGACATTTTTCATCAAGGAAATTAATTTTATCAACATTTCAAAATGTCTTCAAATAATAACGATACAGACTTATCTCGCTACGTGCAAGTAACGATAAACAATTGGACAAGGAAACATAGAAATATAAACGTTCGTCGCCGAGTATTTTGCAGGGTACTTAGAAATGGGTCAAAACTGAGTCTGGAATCTAATTATAATAGATGTGTGATAGCTGTGATGAACTCTGAAGGTATGTTTCCAAATGTCGAAGAAAGCAAAATATATTTCTTAGAATTTGCCTTGGAAGAACGCGATTTGAACATGGTAAAACTAATAGAGGCAAGCGATTTGAAAATACACGAGGTTAGATGCCTGGATGGAAGATCTGCTCTTCATTATTTGGCTGAGTTTATATATGGGGCAAATTATCATACACCTTCCCCCAAAAATATGACCCTAGAGGTCATGGCATATTTTTTGGAGAATCCAAGTGAAAACTTCTGCGACGATTACGGCTACACGTATTTACACGCGGCCTGCATGACTGGCAACGTGGCTGCAGTGAATCTATTCTTGAGCCAAGGCGTGGATGTCAATCTCGACTCGTACAAGTGTTCCCCTTTGCATATAGCTGCACAGTACAGACATCTAAACGTGATAGAGATTTTGTTGAGGCATGGGGCTGATCCGAATCAACGGGACGTGGAAAAATCGACACCTCTTCACGCCCTCGCGAGGCTGTGCCTATGCCGGTGCACCAATCACTACCTCTTCTGCGACAAGAGAAAACCAGTTGATGAAATAGTTCAAATACTCGTTGAACATGGAGCGAATATCGAAGCTCGGAATTGTCACGGCGAGACGCCTTTGCAGGCGGCGGCGTCGCGTTTCGATGTTAGTCTCACCAAGGTACTTTTGGATCACGGCGCGAATTTGGATAATCTGGACGAGGATAGGATGTTCAGCGCCGACTTCACCTCGCTCGAGTTGAAAAACTATCCTCTCACTCTGAATATCATCGAGATGATGCATTTACTGAAGTCAGTAGGCTACGAAATAAACGTACACACAAGACTCAAGATGATTAAATGTTGGATGAGAGTTCGGGGCAACGACACAGACCATTTGATTGGTGATGTGACTCTTGGTAAGTCATTTCATTTTCCTATTACAATGATTTGAATTTAAACGTGATTAAATTATTTTTTCAGGTAGAGCTCGAGACTTTTATACCGGTTACATTATTTTGTGTAGCTTATTTAGTCATAGCCATATTGGCTTTTATATGAAACAAGAAACGAAGGATTTTTTGCATTACCATTCTGAGAGATTGAGAGCGACGCGCCCACAGCCGAGGCAACAGTATAGTTGTACCGTAGAAAGTACTGAAATTTTGTGGAAAGACGTTTCGAAAATCAAAGACATTATGATAAACGACGACGTCTCGCTGTATCAATTGTGCCAAATGAGCTACAGCGACGGTTACTCGATAATAAAAAATATCAAGAATTGGTGCGTTCCGTCAATGGATGTTACTTCATGTACGTGGTTGAACATGGTTGTAAAAAGGCATATTGCAAACATTTTAATAAGGTTACAGTTGGAATTGTTCGTAGCCGATCTTTTTATGACTGATTATTGTAAATTAAATTTACCTTATACCGTTTGCCGAACAGTAGCTGAAAAAATGAGTTACGAGGAACTACTGCGTTTGTACGAACAGACAAAAGAATATGTTTACCCTCGTAGAAAGGATTCCTGGAATACTTCACTGCTTAAATTTTACAGAATACTCACTAGAAGTCTAACAGGTTCCTCCACAGAGACTTGGGTTCCAAAAGAATTTATTTCCCTTGCTTGATTCTAAACAAGTTACTTGTCCTTTTTTCGTCTGTTGCATATTTAACGAATTAATATTTGTTTAAACAAATGTGTGATGATGTGAGTGAAAATAACAATTTTCGCTATTTTTCAATCAGTACTGTTCGGGTTACTTCCGAAATTAAACGAGACAAAGTGAACAAAATGAAAAGAACTTTATTAATACGTTATTCAACTTTGTTTACAAGCTCCTCGCTCTTCGGAGTCTAAAGCCCTTCTGCCGATCATCTGTAAAAGACAGCNAAATTCTGAATCTGACCCATATAAAATATATTATTAATTTTTATAATTCAAAAATATTATAAAATATACAAAAATACAAACTTTTTAATTTTTTTTTTATTTATTATCTTATTAAACATACATTGCCTTGAATGCTATATATTTCTTTAACATTATAACATTATGCGCTCGAAGTAGGCCCTAAAACTTTTCTTTTTTCAACAACTCAGGCCTGTATACTATTGTTCATACACCGTGACCCGAAAATGGGTATTTCCACTTTGCGCAGCGGCAGGGAAATGATCGTTTTAACTCTCATCATTTTCAGAATCATCAAAATTTCACTTTCAATCTAAATTGGAAAGTTCTCCTACGCACCTCATTGACAGCCGTAACGATGAAGCACCAATAGGAAGCGCGCACGTGCGCAGGAGATTGCGTCATCATTTTTTCGTGTTTTTTTGACATATTCTTTGGTGTCAGTGCAATAGTGACCTCGACGAGTAGTGCTCGTTGTTCAGTGTTAATTTTACAGTGTTCAGTGATATAGACTCAACAGTTTGATTCAAAATGTATTCAAATGATGACGATGCAGACTTACCTACCCTAGAATATATGATAAAAGATTGGACAAGCAAATATAGAAATGTGAACACTAGACGTAATGCATTTGCTAGCGTTATTAAATTAGGAGCAACAATGAGCGTTGAATCTTCTTTCAACAGATTTTTGATAACTTTGATGAACTCTGAAGGTATGTTTCCAAATGTCGAAGAAAGCAAAATATATTTCTTAGAATTTGCCTTGGAAGAACGCGATTTGAACATGGTAAAACTAATCGAGGCGAGCGATTTGAAAATACACGAGGTTAGATGCCTGGATGGAAGATCTGCTCTTCATTATTTGGCTGAGTTTATATATGGGGGAAATTATCATACACCTTCCCCCAAAAATATGACCCTAGAGGTCATGGCATATTTTTTGGAGAATCCAAGTGAAAACTTCTGCGACGATTACGGCTACACGTATTTACACGCGGCCTGCATGACTGGCAACGTGGCTGCAGTGAATCTATTCTTGAGCCAAGGCGTGGATGTCAATCTCGACTCATACAAGTATTCCCCTTTGCATATAGCTGCACAGTACAGACATCTAAACGTGATAGAGATTTTGTTGAGGCATGGGGCCGATCCAAACCAACAGGACGTGGAAAAATCGACACCTCTTCACGCCCTCGCGAGGCTGTGCCTATGCCGGTGCACCAATCACTACCTCTTCTGCGACAAGAGAAAACCAGTTGATGAAATAGTTCAAATACTCGTTGAACATGGAGCGAATATCGAAGCTCGGAATTGTCACGGCGAGACGCCTTTGCAGGCGGCGGCGTCGCGTTTCGATGTTAATCTCACCAAGGCACTTTTGGATCATGGCGCGAGTCTGGATAATCTGGACGAGGACAAGATGTTCAGCGCCGACTTCACCTCGCTCGAGTTGAAAAACTATCCTCTCACTCTGAACATCATCGAGATGATGCATTTATTGAAGTCAGTAGGCTACGAAATAAACGTACACACAAGACTCAAGATGATTAAATGTTGGATGAGAGTTCGGGGCAACGACACAGACCATTTGATTGGTGATGTGACTCTTGGTAAGTCATTTCATTTTCTCAATACGATGATTTTTATTTAAACGTGATTAAATTATTTTTTCAGGCAACAATCGAGACTTTTTTACCGGTTGCACTATTATGGACAGCTTATTCAGTCTTAGTCATATTGGCTTTTATATGAAACAAGAAACGAAGGATTTTTTGCAATGTCATTCCCAGAGATTGCTCTCGACATGCTCAAGGATGCAGTGTAAGCCTAGAAGTGTAGAAAATACTGCTTGTATGTGGAAAGACGTTTCGAAAATCAAAGACATTATGATAAAAGATGACGTTTCGCTGTATCAATTGTGCCAAATGAGCTACACCGACGGTTACTCGATAATAAAAAATATCAAGAATTGGTGCGTTCCGTCAATGGATGTTATTTCGTGTACGTGGTTGAACATGGTTGTAAAAAGGCACATTGCAAACATTTTAATAAGGTTACAGTTGGAATTGTTCGTAGCCGATCTTTTTATGACTGATTATTGCAAATTAAATTTACCTTATACCGTTTGCCGAACAGTAGCTGAAAAAATGAGTTACGAGGAATTACTGCGTTTATGCGAACATACAAAAGAATATGTTTACCCTCACAGACAGGATTCCTGGAATTCATCATTGCTTAAATTTTACAGAATACTGACTAGAAGTCTAACAGGTTCCTCGACAGGGACTTGGTATCCAAAAGATTATTTATATACATGATAAATTGATTTAAAAAAAATTGCAGAGCTTTCTTAGTGAAGAACCACATATTTAGTTTCCTTGATTGATTCTTAACAATAAGTAACTTGTCCTTTTTTCGTCTGATGCATATCAAACGAATTAATATTTAATAATTATTTTTTAAAACCTTAAAAATAGCAATCTCAGCTACTTTTCAATAAATACAATATTGTCCATAATTTTTTTGTCTCAATAAACCGATTTTAACATTTAAAAATTTATTCTCGTCTATTAAATATGTAATAAAACAATTTTGATTCATTTTATTTTACACAAACGTTTAAAAATTTCCTTTTTTCATTCGTCTTGACACGACTTATAGAACCGGAGATATAATCAAAATAGTAAAAAAGACGATATTGCATAAGGTCGGAGCGCAGGGCTCGGACTTTCACGTCCATAGATTGGCCAATAAACAATATTTACATTGGTAGAGCATTCATTTTGAAGGTATCAATCTGAACCTTAATTTTATGCAAATAAAACTACGTCTTAAGCGATCACAAGGTAATTGGCACGATTTAGAGTATCAATTTCTATCATTTTTTCAGCTTGTCATTAGTTTATAAAGCAATATCGATCCCTCGACCACATAAAACCCCCGCATAATTATAAATGAGAAATTTGAAAATTCATTCAACTTCAAAAATGTGAGCTCAATCGCTACTCTCAATCAACGCAAACAAAGGGTATAATAGTATGCTCACCTATCGCAAGAGGCTATTCTTTATGCTCGGAGCTTTTATAAGACACGCCGTTCACGCGAATAAAGATACATACGTGAAGCAACAGAGCTAGCGCGCCCCTAGCCTAACGTTCAGTATTAGAGGATAACTTTCAAGAAGAATCATGTCTGTTACGGTCTATACAGCAGTACTACATAGACGATGCATGTAAGATAACAACAAATCACAATTACCAATTGATAATATCCGCTGAAACAAGAGTTTCGAGCCGTTTATAAAAAAAAACTACCCCGAAACTCCACACTTGCTGACTAGCTGAATATTGAAAACAGCACAGCAATTTTTTTATTGTCATTAACACAATAAAAATGTTTTAGCATATAATTTTATCTTCAAATTTACTTTTGCCTAACACGCATGAAAATTTCTATTGATTTTCAAGCTAGTTATAAGAGTGCCTAAAAACTTTTCGTTTTTTATTTTAGAAGTGCTCGATCTTAAAATAACAATTGAAATCAATTTCGACAAGATCAACATATACAATAGAACGAGCAGACAATTTACTAAACTATGGTACATTTTAAAAAATTTTACATTTGTTATGCATGTGTATTTTTCAAAAGTATCGGGTATGCATTGAAAGTCGCACGATTTTTTGTACGTCTGCGACACGATAAAACTCACGGATACGTTCTAATGAAAATAATAATAATAATTAGGCGCCTGTAAAAGTTATCTCGTCGCACTTTGTATTATGTGAGCTCGTTTCGCCGCGTAAGCGTGAAAAGTGAATCTCAACGGGTATACTTCATCGGGAGCATCGCTAAAATTTCAACGATGATTGTTCTGTTTCAACGACGATAGGTTTTAATATAACTTACCTCGAGTCATTATGTTACAAATGCAGCTGTATACACGCCAGCTAAATCCTTATCGTCGCTCGGACGCATTCTCGCAACGTCCAGAAACACGAGATCGCGCGCGCTCGTCTCGTTGTCTCTCGTTGACATAACAAAATACCGCCACGAATACTTTATCCACCTTCGCCACGATCGATCGATGTCGAAATAAAATTACAATTTCTTTCACTAATTACAATTCTAATCGAATCAATGATGTCCCTTATATTATGATAAAGTTCAAATTTCAATGTTACACTGCACGATGCGCGTCATATACCGAGCCGCGCCGCCAGTGTGTTGTTGGCAAACAGAGCGAGACAGAGAAAGAAAGAAATTTTAAAAGTCCGCGTGCCCGCGTATCATTTACAACGCATAGCTATCTTTGTTATGAGCAGTTTTCACGCCGGCAAAGACGTCCGTTACACGCAGCAGCGGCACCGCTGCGCGAACTGCGAGCGCAAATTTCTGCTGCGATTTCTGAAAAATTCCTGCCTGAACACGCCGCTGATTGGACGCCCGCGTGTGCTACCCTACACACCGCCTGTAATCGGATACAGTGTTATACATTTGCCGCCCAATATTCGTACGCA